GTGCATAGGAACCATGTTTATCGAGCCGAAAGCTGATCGCCCCGACGAGGTCAAGCAGCTTTTTCTTGGACACCATTAGGTGATCGAAGCTTTTATGGTATCGAGCTTGGTGCTTGGTGAATTATAGAATGAGGGGCATATGCATACCGTCCATATGGTGCAAAGAAAAGGCTTTTTTGAAATGTTTCTCTGTTATTGAATTATAGAAGAAGGGGATCAATTGTATCCTCTGAAAACGAAGCGGAATTTTTCATGGTTTATTGCGTGTCTGTTCGCTCTTCCGCTCTCTTTTTCGTGTCCTCTTGTGTTCAGAAGAATGATAAGAATTCCATACTATCACGACTGATTCGCCGAAACTGACCAAACTTGCATCGGTTGGCAGCCTGTGATATCTACAGGACACTCGCTTCATCTGTGTCAATAACTGGCAAATAAAACGACGATACCTGAAGCATGGCATGTAAAACCGAAAAATGCAGATTTCCGTAGTAGTGGATGAGACCACGCAATTTTCACGTTTTTTCACTTTACTGAAAGTTCTCGCTCATCTCGACGCCAGGTGGTTCTCTGCGAAAGGCCCGTGTGGGGTGGGAGGGGCAGGTGGCACGCAGGGAGAGGCACGAGGCCATGGTAGGGCAAGCTGTGTGGATGGCAGGGATGGCGTGGCAGAGGGAAGGCAGCGGGATGGCGTGGAGGGAGAATAGCATTGCGATGATGTGCTGGAAGAATGGTAAGATGGTGATGGTAATGATAATGACAATTAAGATCCTATGAATAATAACAATAAAAACAACAAACAAACACAACAACAGCAGTAACAGGAATAATGATACTTATAATAATGATAATAATAATATTAACAGTAATAGTAATAACAATAACTGTTATTATTGTTATCATTAGATTTATTTTTATCATTTATTATGATTATCATGATTATAATTATCATTATCATTATTATCAGTGGTCGCCGGGAAGCGTTGCTGGGGACCACGAAGATCGGTCTCCCAGCGAGCGAGTGTGACTCTGCCCGGGGGCCCGGACTGAAGGGAAGGCATCTCTCCGGCCGCCTCTGCCGGAACCGAAGGCCCTCGAACGAAGCGCCGACCGAGCCCTTGCGAATCAGCCTTTTATTTCAAAATTGTTATCATTATTATTATATTTTATTATTTGTTATCATTATTATTATTATTATTATTATTATAATTATTATTATATTTTATTATTTGTTATCATTATTATTATTATTATTATTATCATTATCATTATCATTATCATTATTATTATTATTATTATTATTATTATTATTATTATTATTATTATTATTATTATTATTACTACTACTACTACTACTCCTACTACTACTGTCATTTTTCTTATCATTACTATTACCATTCATCATTATCATTATTTGACTATTATTATCTCCGCCAGGGAGGTTATGTTTTTGACGGCGTTAGTTTGTTGGTTTGTTTGTTAGCAGCGTAGATTTCATCGAATTTTTGGGGACAAGTCAGAAAGGGACTAACTTAGAACTGATTAAATTTTGGTGACATTCCGAATTACCGTCTAGTTATTATTATTATTATCATTATCTATTCAGTAAATATACTATCCAAGTTCGGTACACAAATCTACGGTAAACATGTGCCACATTTCACTATCTCCCATTTTACTGTTATTGTTACCTCCGCCAAGGAGGTTATGTTTTTGACGGCGTTGGTTTGTTGGTTTTTTTGTTTGTTAGCAGCGTATCTCAAAAAGTGCTGGCCGGATTTCATCGAAATTTTGGGGACAAGTCAGAAAGGGACTAACTTAGAACTGATTAAATTTTGGTGACTCTGAATTACCGTCTGGACGCAGCAGTGGTGTAAGTACATTATATACGCACCTTGGCGGAGGTCTGCACTCTCTGAGTGCTTTTCTAGTTATTATTACTATTTTCACTATAATGATCATCATTATTATTATTATCATTATTGTCATTATCATTATTATTAATATAATTGCTAATATTAATGTCAATATTAATATTGATACTGATATTAATACTGATATTATTATAAATTTCATTGTCATTAATACTTTTGTTATTATTATTATTATTGTTATTACTATTATTTTTATTAATGTTGTTTTTGTTATTGTTATTATTGTTATTATTATTATTATCATTATCATTATCATTATCATTATTATCATTATTATCATTATTATTATTATCATTATCATCATTATTGTTATAATTATTATTATCACATTATTATCAATACCGTTATCACCATTATCATGATCATTAATATCATCATTGTCATCATTATCATTATCTTTATTAATTACCATCAGTATCACCATTATCATCATCATTATCATCCGTATTGTCATCATTATTATTATCATTATCATTACCATCATCATCGCTATCATTATCATCAGTACTGTTATTACTATTATCATTATGATTATTATCGTTATCATTATCATTATTATTATTATTATCATTATTATTATTATTATTATTATCATTAATATCATTTTTATTATTATTATTATTATTATCATTATCATTATCATTATCATTATCATTATCATTATCATTATCATTATCATTATCATTATCATTATTATTATTATTATTATTGTTATTATTATTAGTAGGATTATCATTATTATCATCATTATCATTATCATTATTATTGTTATTATCACTATTGTTATTATTATTATTACTTTTATTATTGCTGTTATTATTATTACTATTAAGAATAATAAGGTTAAGCGTGGCGAGGAAGCATTCTCGAGATCGGCCCCGGGAGTTGGTGACTGCATCACCCCAACGAGTGTGGCGGCAGTTAAATCACCCACTATGTGGAAAGGTGGCTAGAGTTGGGAAATTATATTTTCAAAGGCAACAATAACAATGGGGTGTGAAGTAGACTGAAATAACTTTGATGCAACATCGAAGAAAGATGTGAATAAATGTGCACGGGACAGTGGTTTGGAAGGGAAGTATGACTTAAGTTCTTTTCTGATGAATATGTATAGACGAGACATAAAGGAGTGTGAAGAGAAAGAATGGTAATTGGGAATTGGTATAGGAGGATGTGTAAGAAAACTTTCTTTCTAAATTGCAAATAAGTTTCAGTACACGAATTTCAGATAATGGATGGATAATTAGAAGAAAGGATATGACGAAGGTTAGGTCTAAGACAACGAAAACAGCGAATATTCTAGTACAGGAGAGCTATACTTTAGTTGATCTATGAGTGCTAACAGCCACGAAAAACCGGTCAAATTTGGCTGGGCTAAATAGAGTGTTTAAGACATTTATAGAGATGGGGGTGGTAGAAGGACAGGGACATGTGGAAGAGGGAGTAGTATTGAGGAAGTTGTTATTACGGAGAGGTGGACAATAAGGCTGTAAAGTAGTAATAAGGGAGAAGGGGGTGATTGATGAAGGTTGTGGGGGTAGAGGGGATGAAGTTGAGAATGTTGGGAGTAGGAATGTGTAATGGAGATTGAGTGTTGACTTGGGTGGATAATGTACTAGTAGGCATTGAGGAGCAGCAGTAATTGCTGTGTTAAGAGTCGTGGTCAAAGGAGAGCCTCGGGTCGGGGAACCGGGAGAGTTTGAGTTGGTGGGGCTATTTGATGAAGGGGCAAGCCTCATTGCCCCTAATAATGGTATAACATCTTCATTATTGGCCTGGAGTATGTCGAGGAAACAGTCCACTCCTCAGGGACCCCTTGAGAGGTAAGGGCTAGAAATCGTGGGGACACGATCGGTCAAGGCGGTGCTATTTCGAGAGGAGGGGGGGGGGGGGGTAAGAAGTTCGCCAGCGACCTTGGTCACTACGATGTAGAAAGAATGGTCCCAAACAAATGGCGTCCTATCTGGGTATGTCAACGATTGATGCGTAGTTTCAAATTCTAACTGTAAACCTCGCCGATGCCAATGTCATACGAGTTGTTCACACTAGACGTTTATTGTTTGACGCCAGCTATCATTTGGAGGTATGCAGAAAGATGTGTGACTGGGTTGGATTCACATATAATTGCGTCGCCGTCAGTGTGTAAAATGCAAATAAGCTGATTTTCAATTTCACGCAAGATGATTAATGGTTAAAAAGAGATAAATGTGCTAGACGTCAAAGGTCATATAGCACCATGGGTGATGTATTGTGGCGAAAAGGGTAAAAATGAGTTCACGATTAGGATACCAGAACAGAAGAAGGGGGAAAAAAGAGAAGGAAATGGAAAGGGGGAAAAGAAAAGACCCTGTAAAGTTAGATGAGGCGAGGGCTGAGGTCCAGGGCAGGGGTAATCCCAACATGGGGCCTCAGTCCCCGCCTCCTAAGCCCCCACGACAAGAACGAGCAAGGCTTTGGGGGGAACATCGCCTAAGAGAATGCACACGTTCGGAGCACTAGAACACAAAGGCAAGATCACACTGTGAGACAGGCACCCCTTCGACACGGTCTTGATAAAATTAAACGTCACGAACTAGGTTTGTACATAAAAATAGCTTAAATTGCAAATAAGTTTCAGTAAACGAATTTCAGGACAATGTATTTATATTTTGAAATCATGAAGAAATTCTAAAAAGATCCTTAAAACACTATTCTTGTTTTCGACATGATCATTATGAGAACAGATCATCGTAAACATCACAAATAATTATACGGTCACAAGTAACTGTGATTAAGCAAGATCTACTGATGATGTCAGAATATAATCCGACACTGGAGACTTAGGCCCAGCATAGGAGATGGCAGTCTGCTTCTCATGAAAACGGTTATCTGTTACCCACTACAAGATTTGAATGGCGAACCCTTGGTTTGGTGCTATCGTAGACAAGGGCAGCTAACGAGAGTATTATTTCTATTAAAAGCTACCAAGCCATCTAGTGGGACGATCACATCTTGCGTGAAAAAGCATATTTTCCCATCAGAATGGTCCAAACCATGTCTTTAGATTCCTCGGGATAATAAAAATACATC